AAGGAATCCCAGGAGTACGGCTGAACTACAGACTGAATTGAATTTATTGCGAATTTGTTCCTTCAACCAATAGAGATTGCACCATGATTGGAAGCTAAAAAGCCGCCCTGACCCCCCGACACACATCCCTCCCCCACCTCCAGCCATGCTCCTATCATGCCCTCTACCCTAGGGCTTGTGATGGGGTCCTGGGTCTGGAGTACTTGCACCAAGGGAATCCTCCTCCATGCAGAACTGGAACTTCTAGGGCCCCTTCATGCCACTCCAGCCCTTTTACCTGGTATGAAGGGACTCCAGCCTATTTTCTAATCTAATTCTGCTGCCATTGAAGTTAGTGGAAAAACACACCTTGACTTTGGGGAGATTAGGGTCTGACATTTATAGAACTAGCTCCCTTCCCCTCACCCTCACGCCTCTAAAAGGCTACATACTTTGCTGCTGGCTCTCAGAAGCTCTGACAGCCTCACTGATTAAGAAGTAATTTTGTCCCCACAGAATCCTCCTCCTCCTTCCCCCGGCTCCCTTGGTAACAGTCTCATAATGGAGAAACTGACATTATTATTCTGACACACCCACTCTCTCCAAAACTGCACTTCCCGTCTTCCCCAATCCTTCTACGCTGCCTACTCATTCTTTTCTTGCTAAGTTCTACTCCTTTTTCTCTTCACTTCCTCAAGCTACATCCTTTCCTCATTGTCCCCACTGCTAAAACCCTTTTCACGGCTAAAAAACAATCTCTTTTCTGCCTTCATTTCCTATTAGCTTTCCCCTTCATCCCAAGTCTGTCTGCTGATGCAGTCTCCTTCCCACTTCACTAACGATATGACCTTTTCCATTGGTTCCCTCCTTTGGGTCTTACACTGTTTACTGCATCAGGTAGGGTTGCCAGTTTTGGTTGGACATATTCCTGGAGATTTACTCACATGACATAATCTTTAAATAAAGATTAATCTTTAATTTCTGGAGACTCCAGGCCAATCCTGGAGGGTTGGCAACCCTAGCATCAGGTTCAACCTTCCCAACCTCACCCCCTGCACGATCCTATGTAATACCTCCCGCTCTAACTCTGTGCATTTCTTCCAGTTCTTGTGTTCTTCCCACCCCTCTTCATCTCCTATTCCAGATACCTGACTTAAGCTTATTTCATTCTGCCTTCTGTATGTGAGACTCTTTCCTTGTCCTCAGGTTTCAGAGTAGCAACCATGTTAGTCTGTATCCGCAAAAACAAAAGGAGTACTTGTAGCACCTTAGAGACTAACAAATTTATTTGAGCATAAGCTTTCGTGAGCTACAGCTCACTTCATCGGATGCATGCAGTGGAAAATACAGTGGGGAGATTTATGTACACAGAGAACATGAAACAATGGGTGTTACCATACACACTGTAACAAGAGTGATCAGGTAAGGTGAGCAATTGCCAGCAGGAGAGCGGCACCTTTTGTAGTGATAATCAAGGTGGGCCATTTCCAGCAGTTGACAAAAATGTCTGAGGAACAGTGGGGGGGAGGGGAAATAAACATGGGAAAATAGTTTTACTTTGTGTAATGACACATCCACTCCCAGTCTTTATTCAAACCTAAGTTAATTGTATCCAGTTTTCAAATTAATTCCAATTCAGCAGTCTCTCCTTGGAGTCTGTTTTTGAAGTTTTTTTTGTTGAAGGATTGCCACTTTTAGGTCTGTAATCGAGTGACCAAAGAGATTGAAGTGTTCTCGACTGGTTTTTGAATGTTATAATTCTTGATACCTGATTTGTGTCCATTTATTCTTTTACGTAGAGACTGTCCAGTTTGCCCAATGTACATGGCAGAGGGGCATTGCTGGCACATGATGGCAGATATCACATGGGTAGATGTGCAGGTGAAGGAGCCTCTGATAGTGTGGCTGATGTGATTAGGCCCTCTGAAGGTGTCCCCTGAATAGATATGTGGACACAGTTGGCAACGGGTTTTGTTGCAAGGATAGCTTCCAGGGTTAGTGTTTTTGTTGTGGGGTGTGTGGTTGCTGGTGAGTATTTGCTTCAGGTTGGGGGGCTGTCTGTAAGCAAGGGCTGGCCTGTCTCCCAAGATCTGTGAGAGTGATGGGTGATCCTTCAGGATAGGTTGTAGATCCCTGATGATGCATTGGAGAGGTTTTAGTTGGGGGCTGAAGGTGATGGCTAGTGGTGTTCTGTTATTTTCTTTGTTGGGCCTGTCCTGAAGTAGGTAACTTCTGGGTGCTCTTCTGGCTCTGTCAATCTGTTTTTTCACTTCAGAAGGTGGGTATTGTAGTTGTAAGAATGCTTGATAGAGATCTTATAGGTGTTTGTCTCTATCTGAGGGGTTGGAGCAAATGCGGTTGCATCGTTGAGCTTGGCTGTAGACAATGGATCGTGTGGTGTGGTCTGGATGAAAGCTGGAGGCATGTAGGTAAGCATAGCGGTCAGTAGGTTTCTGGTATAGGGTGGTGTTTTTGTGACCATAGCTTATTATCACCGTAGTGTCCAGGAAGTGGATCTGTTGTGTGGACTGGTCCAGGCTGAGGGTGATGGTGGGATGGAAATTGTTGAAATCATGGTGGAATTCCTCAAGGACTTCTTTTCTATGGGTCCAGATGATGAAGATGTCATCAATGTAGTGCAAGTAGAGTAAGGGCATTAGGGGATGAGAACTGAGGAAGTGTTGTTCTAAGACAGCCATAAAAATGTTGGCATACTGTGGGGCCATGCGCGTACCCATAACAGTGCCGCTGATTTGAAGGTATACGTTGTCCCGAAATGTGAAATAGTTATAGGTGAGGACAAAGTCACGAAGTTCAGCCACCAGGTTTGCCATGACATTATCGGGGATAGTGTTTCTGACGGCCTGTAGTCCATCTTTGTGTGGAATGTTGGTGTAGAGGGTTTCTACATCCATAGTGGCTAGGATGATATTTTCAGGAAGATCACCAATGGATTGTAGTTTCCTTAGGAAGTCAGTTGTGTCTCGAAGATTGCTGGTAGTGTAGGCCCTGAGGAAGGAGTCGACATAGCCAGACAATCCTGCTGTTAGGGTGCCATGGTGAGATGATGGGGCATCTAGGATTTCCAGGTGTATGGATCTTGGGTAGCAGATAGAATACCCCTGGTCAGGGTTCTAGGGGTGTGTCTATATGGATTTGTTCTTGTGCTTTTTCAGGGAGTTTCTTGAGCAAATGCTGTAGTTTCTTTGGTAACCCTCAGTGGGATCAGAGAGTAATGGCTTGTAGAAAGTGGTGTTGGAGATCTGCCCAGCAGCCTCTTGTTCATATTCCGACCTATTCATGATGACAACAGCAACTCCTTTGTCAGCCTTTTTGATTATGATGTCAGAGTTGTTTCTGAGGCTGTGGATGGCATTGTGTTCTGCACAGTTGAGCTTATGGGGCAAGTGATACTGCTTTTCCACAATTTCAGCCCGTGCACGTCGGCGGAAGCACTCTATGTAGAAGTCCAGTCTGTTGTTTCAACCTTCAGGAGGAGTCCACCCAGAATCCTTCTTTTTGTAGTCTTGGTAGGAAGGTCTCTGTGGGCTAGTATGTTGTTCAGAGGTGTGTTGGAAATATTCCTTGAGTTGGAGACGTCGAAAGTAGGATTCTAGGTCACCACAGAACTGTATCATGTTCGTGGCGGTGGAGGGGCAGTTTGGCCATGTACATTGGGCAAACTGGACAGTCTCTACGTAAAAGAATAAATGGACACAAATCAGATGTCAAGAATTATAACATTCAAAAACCAGTTGGAGAACACTTCAGTCTCTTTGGTCACTCGATTACAGACCTAAAAGTGGCAATTCTTCAACAAAAAAACTTCAAAAACAGACTCCAATGAGAGACTGCTGAATTGGAATTAATTTGAAAACTGTATACAATTAACTTAGGCTTGAATAAAGACTGGGAGTGGATGTGTCATTACACAAAGTAAAACTATTTCCCCATGTTTATTTCCTCCCCCCCCACCCACAGTTCCTCACATGTTCTTGTCAACTGCTGGAAATGGCCCACCTTGATTATCACTACAAAAGGTTTTTCCCCCCCGCTCTCCTGCTGGTAATAGCTCACCTTACCTGATCACTCTTGTTACAGTGTGTATGGTAACGCCCATTGTTTCATGTTCTCTGTGTATATAAATCCTCCACTGTATTTTCCACTGCATGCATCCAATGAAGTGAGCTGTAGCTCACGAAAGCTTATGCTCAGATAAATTTGTTAGTCTCTAAGGTGCCTCAAGCACTCACTTTCCTTCATATCCCTCCTTAAATTCACCTGTTCAAGCAGTCCCTCCTCTCTTCCCTTCATTAATAAACTGCAAAACTCCCTTCTCCTCAGCTGTTGAACAGAAAGATTTGTTTTGCTTTTCTTATATAAATTGTAAGTTCGTCTGGTGTGGGAATGTTTGTGTCCATCTCTGGCTCTTTACAAACAATTTTTGATAAGTTATGAAGACTTAAGACTATGTAGCCTACTAATTATGGGAATGATTATGGAGAGTATGTTTCCACAGGCTGTTGGAGGCCATCTCTACTTTGAACAGGATAGGATATGTTAAAGGGCTTTCAGTTCATTTATGTTCCTCAAGTTTAGCCTCAGATAATAAAATATTTGTGATTTTCTTTGCTTAGTGGGAAACACATTTATTTGAACCAGTCTATTAAGTTGTAGACATTGGGGGTTACATATTTGTTTACCAAATTTTTATGATTGAGATCCCCACCTTCAAAATAGGACTTCTAAATATTTGCTAAAATATATATCCTTTCAAAATGTAGTTTTGCTTTTCACAGGTGGATGATTTAGAAAGCTTTTAAAAGTACATAAACAAGTCAAGATGGCTGCTTCTTTGTACATATATTAATGTATTTTAGAAGTAATGTAATTGTTTTTGTTAATGTAAAACGTACACAAGAGATTGTTTCTTTTATTAAATGACTAAAAGGTGAATATCTGCTTCAAGGAATGAACAAGCCAGATCTGACCTCTGATTTTAACTTGTTCTTGTCGTCTAGACCCAGCTGTGCGCCTGGCGTTGTTCAGAAACAATGAAAATAAACATCCCCCTGTGAAACCACCAAGGAAGAGACAGCCAGCAAAAGAGACAGCCAGCAGTTACTTTGAAGGTATGAACAGGAGTTTTCCTTTATATGTATTTATGTATTTTGCAATGTCTTTGCAATTCTTTTTCATTTATGAAAAAACACGCAGAAGTAAGAGAAGGGATTAGCTCCAAGTCCTTAGCTGCGTGTGGACAACTCAAATGACATGATGAAACATTTCAGTTTTAATACATTTTTTTCTAGTGATTAATTTGTAATGTGCACTGTAGGCCTGACCCAAAGCTCACTGAAATCAGTGGGAATTTTTCCATTGATTTCAGTGAGCTTTGGATCAGGCACTAAATACTTTTAAATTGGGGGAGTTGGTTTAAGTGACATGCTTGAAGCTACATGCACAGAAGGGAGGTGAAAGACCATTGTTCCCTCTAATTTTTTACATCCATGTGCGGAATGAATTTTGTTATGTGCACCAATATGGAGATGATGTCTGGCGGGGGTGGGACTGAGAGTTCTGGCATGTGGGAGGGGGTGCGGGGGGGGCGGTGAGGGCTCTGGGGTGGGGCCAAGGATGAGGAGTTTGGGGTCCGGGAGGGGGCTCACAACTGGGACAGAGGGTTGGAGTGCTGCAGGGAGGTGAGGGCTCCAGCTGGGAGTGTGGGCTCTGGGGTGGGGCTGGGGATGAGGGGGTTGGGTGCAGGCTGCCACAGGGCTGGGGCTGGGGGAGAGGCACCTTTCCCTGCCTATGCGGCACTTGATAGCCCTTGATAGCCTGCTGTGCAGCTACACGGCTGTGCAGCTTAGAGGGATCTTAGTAAAAGACCCTTTCAACAAAATGGGGAGCTGCTCACCATGCTGTGGGATTGGAGGTGGAACTGCATGACACTAGCTGCTACAGATTTAATAAAATATTTTAAAAAAGCAGCAAAGCACTGTACAGAGGAAATACAAAGCAGTAGCATAGAATACTATGAATGGTAGTAACCAGAGAAATAATATGGTTTGGGCCTTGTGTACACCCTTATCTATTTCAGACACTGTTCTTTTTTCTTACCAATTTAAATGCACCAAATAAAACCATTTCTAAGCTCACTTTGTTTCTTGGTTATATTTTTTTTCAAGTTACCCATTCTTGAAGACAATGAACCTTTTTTTATTTTAAACAAACTATTCTGTAAATTCAAAAGAAAAATATGAAAAAATCTTTAAATGGAAAAAAAAAAACATTTTTGCTCCATGCTCATACAATTTAAACATTGTATTGGACATTCAAAAAGAATTCACCTTTCAGAAGAACTTATAAAAGTTATAGACTGAGCTTTTCAAATGCCCTCAGCGTTTGTTCAATTCTGCTACTATTAAAGTCAGTGGTAATACTCCAATTGTCTTCACTGGAAGCAGAGTTAGGCCAATTCTGGGCACTTCTCCCGTCGTCCACAGCTATTCCCCTCTCATCATTGACTTGGCTGGGGTTTTTTCCAGCTAACTCTCACAGGCACTGCATGCTATTAGTGACTATTCCTTCCCTAAAGGGGGTTTGGTTAGACTGAGAATGCTGCCACATTGCTTCATTCCTTGATCAAGTGGAAGAAAGCATCTCGGGTGCAATATGGCTTCAAATGGGCTTCCCAGAAAGCATTAAGTTGGGGATGGGAATTAGGGTCAAAAGCACACCTGAGGAACAGCTGCTTGAGCTGTTGTGATACCACCAGGATGACTTCAGAGCTTTCTGTGCCTCACTTTGGCCTCCACAAAACAAAAAGCCTGCATGAGAGTTTCACTGAGTTGGGCTGGAACAGGATCTGTGCAGACTGGGTTGCTTGACTCCCATCTCACAAGCACCAGGCCAATGTCTTCTCTTTCTGTCCTTTTGACCATGCCTTTTCCTGCCTTGAGCAGATCTTCTTGAATCTTTTTTTTTTATGGTGGGAGTTCCCACTCTCTGCGAACAAGCTCTGTAGAGATACCAGGTAGATACAAGGTAGGTGAGGTAATATCTTTTATTGGACCAACTTCTGATCAAGCCCTGCAGACATTGTCCCCCAGAGCAAAAGGAAGAACAAACCAATCAGCTGACTGGTAGGAATCAACTTCACCCATACAACCCATTTTCCCTCCACGGACAGCCGGCCTGCCTGCCAGTCAGTGCTTTAATACTTTGGTGGAGGGTTTGAATCCCAACTCCTCTCCTTTAGAACCCACTAAAGAGAGATCTCAAAGAAGAAGGGATCTACATTCTAAATATTCCTGCTTTAATGTGGGAGGTGGGGAGGAGAAACTGTAACATCAATAGCAAGAACACATGTTATCTGTTAAATAAGGGGATTGCCCCTTTTGAAAGGGGATGCCCTAGGAAGTGAAACAATTAGATGATTTTTAGCTTTTTAAACTGGAACACATCACAGCAGAGAACATCTAGAAGGATTTAAGTTGTCAAATGTATGGTATGTCTCTTGAGTCTTCTCTGTTCTTTCGGTTGTAATTATGGATTATGGTTAACAGTATTTAAAATAAGCCTAATGCAAAAAAGAAACACTGCATAGACGGAAAAGAAGTGGTAGAAAAAACAATATATCTAAAAGCTTGTATCTGACTCCTATCTATACAGTATTAACCAGTATTGATGGTTATTTAAACCACTGTATCATATTTGTATTTTATATTCTATCCTTGGTTAAATTTGTTTCAACTTTAAATATATCTGGTATTTCATTTTTTTCATGGTTATTTTAAAATATTTATTGTTCTAAGGATTAATGGATGCTAAGCATTTGTGGGAAGGGAAGAATATAGCAAACTTTTTGTCTGGAAACAAGTCCACTGAATGGAAGGAAAAAACTTGCACTTAAATAAGATCAACAATCTGGTGAACTAATTAAAGCAAATCAATTCTGTCTGAGTTAAGGATGACATTTTGTCATAATTCACCTTTTTTTCCTACATAGTTCAGAAGTCTCAGGATGTTGTATGCTGTTGTGTGACATAGATCTAAACACAATGGGGGAATTAGGATAGATTGGCATCTGTAATACTCAACTTCCTTGGTTTAAGTTTAGGTAAGACCAATATTTTAATTTGAATGGGATTTTTTTAAATCGTTTTCTTTTAATACTACATAAAAAGTATAACATTCCCTTCCCCCACATGTTGAGTTGACAACTTATTGAACTTATGGCTTTTTAAAAGCTCACTGAGACTTCATGGAAAATAGCACTTTTCTTGCTGACAGTACTCTTACTGGCTCATGTATTTTCTTTCTGCCTTCATTCATTTTTTATTACAGATTATTGTATAAATCCAAAAGTTTTGGTTTTGAGACCTCCTGGTCCTGCTTTTTCTTCATTTGAAATGGGAATTTCATTTCTGGCATCACACTAATTGTACTTGTAAAAGCAAGTGTGATGCCACAGATTTACTATACTGAGGTATCGCCAAAAAGAGAAAATGAGCTCTGCAGAAAAAAACCCATTTTTATGCAAATCATTCTATAACAAAATTGTAGGGGAAAAGTGAGAAGAAAAGAAATTTATGGACCTACTTCAAAGCATCAAGGCATGTGCATAACTTCGATCACATGGGACTACTCATGTGAGCAAAACCTGATACATGCTCCTTGAGTGCTTTATAGGACCAGGGCCTTTGTGAACAGGAATATCCAAAAATATATTTTTTAAAGTTTGCCATGAGATATCAAATCTTTCATGAAATGTCAGTGAATCCACTACTGATTCTCCAGTGACTGTATAATAAGCCTGAAGGAGAAATTGTTATTCATTAATATTTATAGCAGAGTAGCATGGAGAAGTCCCAATCAGAAACAGACCTCTTTGTGTTAGGTGTTGCACAAACAACATATGGAGACCTGGTCTCCACCTTGAAGAATTTCCAATGAATCCGATGAAGTGAGCTGTAGCTCACGAAAGCTCATGCTCAAATAAATTTGTTAGTCTCTAAGGTGCCACAAGTACTCCTTTTCTTTTTGCAAATACAGACTAACACGGCTGCTACTCTGAAACCAATCTAAGAAGATAAGTGATATGTAAAAGGGATGGGAGGAGGGATATATACATGCACCAAAATAATTCTAGAGAAGGTGAGACAGTAACCTGTCAATACATCTGAAGGCTACAAAATCTTCCTAAATGTTGTGGCACTGATGGGCCATGTTAGCACTTAGTAAAATTGTAATATATTTTAAACACGCGCACACACACACACACGATAACCTGCTTTTCTTCTTGGGAAGTTAGGGCCTGATCCAAAACCCTCTGCAGTAATCTGAAAGACATGTTCTGTGATTTCCAGTGATCTGTTAGCCGTTCATATGGATCAAATATGTTGGACTGGATTCTCTGGTCCAGCTGAGTTCTGCTTAGATTGGGACTAGAAGAGGGAGGGGTTAGATGGCTTTAAGCTAAATCTGGTTAAATTTTTTTGTCAAATTTTGATTTAAAATGACAAACGAAAAATGTAATGAAAAGTTTTGTGAAACTTTTTTTTTCTCAATTAAAAAAATCAGTATTTTTTTTTCATGATTTTTAGACCAGCTCTACTTTAAACCACTTTTATTTCTACTCCTTCATCCTGGGCTGCCTAGGGACCAGTCCAATTCCTGGTCTCGTGTAGAGTAGTCTGGGGCCTTTCGGACCCAAAGAGTTGATCTGACAGCTACAAATTGCTGGTGTTCTCCGTTGTCTCCTTCTTGGAAAATTCCTGTAAATCGTGAGCCAGAGTGTGGCATAGTCCGTCTCTGCCACAGTCAGTTCAACTGGCAATATGGCTGTATTACTCTGCTACAGCAGCACAAAACTGCTGGGTCTGGCCCACTTGGAATATAAGCTTTTGAAGCACTTCAGATCATCCTGGCCACCTGATAGTGAGTGCAGTCCATCTACCCATATGATTGGTGAGCCATGTTCATCATTTCTCTTAGGTGGGGAATCAGCTGTGCAAGATAGAGAAACAGAATCAATCTGTTGGAAGTCAGTAATCCTACTGAAAATCTTTAATGTCAGGATCCACTTCTCTTGCTATTACTCAGAAGTTCAGGCACTATACTCTGATGC